TGATAAATATCACTGTGAATATCAAATTCCAAAGATGAGAATTTTGTGATTCATCTGACAAACAGCCGTCAAGAACGAAGTTTGGCTGGATTAAATACTAAAAATACGTAAAACTGCAATATTTTGTTATTTTTTTTCCTTGTCCTGAAACTACAGAGTAGCTACACAACTTGTCTAGCCTAATTTTGGCACCACTCATACAGTAAAAGACAATTCTCAATTAGGTACAGTAATACTGTAGACTTATAACTACAAACCTATTTAAACAGTTGAGAGAGGAAGAAAGGTTGTCCTGTACCTGGACAAGAATGAAGGCTGGGGGTGGGGGAACCCGATAATTCTGGAAAATCTCACCCAGGACGCCCTCCTTACGGTCACGGAATGGTGCCTAAGTACTGCCTCCAGCAACAGAATATATTTCCTAGCACATCACAGTCCGGGAGCACCATCAATTCTGCCTGCAAGCCATATCCAAAAGGGAAGGTTCTTAGTAGTTCTGCTTTCAGCATATCTCAAGGACTAATTAAATCCTCATTACTACCTTCTAATTATTCAAATACTATGGGATTACACTAAGGAAGTCCCTGCTGGCATACTAGATGAAAAGGGTTAAATAACCTATGTTGATTTTGAGAATCCAGATCTAGTTCAGACCTTCAGAAAACCACTAGCACTAACATGAATATTTAACTAGACACCACTGTGAAAATTAAAAGGGAATTCAATTAAAAGGTTTTCAAAAAATTAATTCTGAACCTCTCTACATCTGTCCAAATAAATAAGCCTTCTCAAAATGTTTTCACCTAATTGCTAATCCAATAAACTAGAAGGGCATTTGCTAGTTTCATTAAGCTTAACGTTTTACAGAGGTTAAAAATGTGATCATTTTGATGTTAATAATAATTATATACTTATTTATCTACTCAGATGGCTATCCTATATTCCCTGTGAGAAAATAGGACAATCTACTAGTAAGCCATTTCTTACTCCCTTTTTCAAATTTTAAGATATATATGTTAAAGATTAAGAAATAAGGATAAAGTGAATCTAAATATGTTGGTTACAATTTTCTTGTAAAATATATTTCAGTATTTTAGGGTTATCTTAACTATTCTTCCAATGCCTTAGTTCGTATAATTCATAGTATTTGATTTTTTGGGTGAGAGCATGTTGCTATATAAGGTCTAAAGAGAAAAGATTTGGCTTAAATAAAAACCAATGACAATACTAAGCTGAAGTTTTGATGTTTTAAAAAAACAAACATATCAGTAATGAAAAAGTTAATACCAAAGAATCTGAACTAATTTTTTTTTAATTCACTTAGTAAGAAGCACCACATAATATGGAAACAGGAGAGTATAAATCAAGTTTTATGCTGCAAAGTACATGAAACATAGAGGAGACAATACTTCATAAGGATAAAGAAGTCAATAGATCTCCAAAGTGTCTCCCTCCTTTCTGTAAATTCTGATGGCCATACCCACATACACCTTTGTAGATGGAAAATAGAAAACTATAGATACACTTATTTTTGCCTACACACAATGTGGGGAAATGAATTTGTGACTGCTGCCTTTTGATACACTTGACACCAGGACCACCAGGGAAAGAGGGGGTGGGCACTGCAGGGCCCCACGTCTAGATGGAGCACGGACTCTGTGCTCAACCTCGGGACAAGGAGATGGCCTTGCTGCTGCCAGCACTGTTCAGACCCTAGGACAGCCTCAGATTTACAAAATTCTCAACAGGGTATGTAATTTATTAATAAATGTTCTTCCTGAATGGGAATACAAAGATCAACCCCCCAAAATGACAGCAGAGCAAGACAGCAGCTTCTGAGCCTGAAGGGATGCAGCGCCAGGGTGGCAGGTGAGCTAGGCTGACCCCCACAGGGAGTGTGGGAAGGACCCAGACACTGCACCCCACAGGAAAGCGGGCTTTCCTGAGTCTCTCATTTTGTGCAGGTATCTCTGGGCAAGTGTGTTTCTGGATTCTCCGCCATTAAAGTCAATCTATCTCCTATGGGTATATTGAAGAAAATGTGTATAATTGTGGAATTTTACTCTTTTATAATCTTACTTGTTAAAACAAATAAGTGTAAATGGAAGTGTTTAGCTTGGTTATTTTAGCACTCAGCAGTACAGAGGCTGTGCCTTATCTTGTCTATCAGGGTCCATGGTTTCTGAGAAAGAATACATTTTTAAAAATAAGATGCCAACTCAGCAATATATTTTTTTCCTCTTCTTTCATTACTTCCTTAAATAAGGGGAGAGGGTATATAAATTATAAAGGTATAAAGTAAGTTAAATTACGTGGGAATCAATACTGGGGAATTTCATAGTAAGGGTTTTCTTAGATTTACTTTGCACTATATATATTGTTGGAACATACCAAATGATGGTAAAACAAACAAAAAAATGCTTTTCATTATTGTATCAAATCATTAAAATGATTATGTCATCTGCCATTAGAACACATGATCAAGTGTGATCAGGTAGGAGCTAACATATCTTCCTAGATTTATAAAGTCATTTAAAAAAAGTACTTGTTACCCAATTTTAGAGGAAATTTAACTCTTACATGGCAAAGCACCATCCAAGGGATGCACATGGGGCCTCCAGCACAGTCTCAGGGAAGTTAGAAGAACACGTTCATAAAAATCAATTCAGATTTAGCAAATTATAAAAGTCATCTTTTATTATTTGAAGGAAATGGTCATTAAAACTAGACAGGTTCAGTTATGCATCCACTACTAGTTACCTAAATCACACTAGACATAAGAGGGGGGAAAAAACCCCAAACAATCAACAAGTGGTTTCCATGCAGTGACACCAGAGGAACACCCTGGATTTTGTCTTGCAAATGTATTCATTTAGGTTAAAACTTTGATTTAACTACATTTCCTGTCATCTTGTCCTTCACATTTGGCATTCTACATTTTTAGATTTCTTAAATGTTTATCAGGTGGAAGGGGCTGAAAAGACAATGGAGAATGTAGAAGAGGGGTTCTTTTTCAGTTTGTAGCAATAAAGGTTTATTGTAGGATTTCCAAATAAAGTACCTCTTATCTTCTGATGCTTACAAAGTAAGCAGAATTCTCCCAGTAGGAATGACGTTACAGGGTTATGGTGAAAATGAAACAACAAATATCTTCATTTTAGCTCTGGGTCTGGCCTGAGTGGGCTTTCAGCACAGGATAATTTCCTCTATTCTTTTTTAATTCACTTCCTTGACCCAGTACCACAAGGTAGGTACAACCGATAGCCATGAAAAGGGACTCTGGGGAAACTCCCACTGGCTTGGCTCCAGCGCTCCTTCCAGAAGCGTCCGTCATGTCTCCCAGACAACAGAGCCATAGGGGAGTTAACACAGAACAAGCAATTTATAGAGATGATGTGACATACAAGACCAATTTATAGGAGGCCACAGTGGGAAGTTTACAGAGAAACAAGTACACACATCACACAATTATTAAAACACACTAGAGTATCACTACGAAGTAGTGGTTCTCAAGTATGGTCCCTGGATCAGCAGCATCAGCAGCACTGAGGAACTGGTCGGAGATGCAGGTTTTCTGATGCAGAATCAGAAACCTGCAGTGTGGCCTCACAATCCGGCTTAACAAGTTCTCCAGATGGTTCTCATGCACTCTAAAGCTTAAAAACCATTACTACTCCATTATTAAAACATATCGCAGTATTTTGATAAGGGAATTAAAGTATTAACTGCACATTAAATGATAATAAAAAGTTAAATATGTAAAGGTATTAGAAATTAAAATTTCATTTTATTCCTACTAAACATTCATTTTAACACAAATGAGGTATAGATAAGGGTAATCCATCTTTTTATTGGTATTACTTTCTAAATAATACATTTCTGAGTTTTTAATATGTAAAATAACTGAAACTTCATCTAATTAGAAACAAATCATCATCTTTACAACTCATACAGAAATAATTATAAACATTAGGGGTCAGGAACCTTTAAATATTAGCTACCAAGCCGGCAACTTTTGTCTTCTGGGCAAGTGAGAGAAGAAGGGGAGTGAAGGAACGTGGCATCTCCATTGGGGGAGGGTGGTGCGGGGCAGGCAGGCAAGGCTTGACTCATGGGCAGTAGGAGGTGGTGATCAGGCACAGCACTAGATGGTACAGGACACTTGTAAATCCTATCTACACTCATCCGGACTAAATCCTATCTACACTCATCCGGACTAAAATCACCATCTCCATCATCAATAAGAGTAACTTTTCCTTCCCCCAAAAGGGGGAAGTAAGACAGAAGCAAATAGATAAAGGCCTAAGGCCTCAGTCAAGGCAAGAATATATGGGGGTCAACTTGTAGAACTGAGGAAAAGGTCAGAGTCTGCAGATGCCGGATAACCTGAATGCTCAGGAAAAGCTCACACTGCTTTTTCTGGCTTGGACACTAACTAGTCTCTGAGAATGAGAAGGTCATATAGAACCTCTATGGTCCTCAATTTCTTTATTCGTAAATTGAGATGAATGGACTCTCCAGTCTTCCAGGTCAGCTCCATTTCTAAGATCCTATAATCCTAAAATATAAGGTTTTACTATGCATTTAAAAATTTACTGTTAAATATCATGGGAAAAGTAAATGGCCAAAACAGCTAAACAGATGCACTTTACTTCATTAGGACCAATACCAAAATTGAATCATCAATAGTCATTTTTACACAGCTAGATCAACTATCAGACAGCAGTTATGTTTAAACTATACTTCCTGGTTCTATGTGGACATGCAGATTCTCTGGAGCTTGAACTGGGATTTGGTAAAACCACCCAATCTACCAGAACCCATCCTTCTTTTCAGTATTTATTGTTATGTGTCGGTTCTTAGGTGTTTCTTTCATCCGATGAGAAAACATAATAGCTTTTTAAAAAAATGTGTATAAGGAGGTACCTAGGTAAGCAAACTCATTTAAACCTTATATACTCAAAACACAAACGTATGTAAGATATGAACTGAAGACAAACCTCTTTCCTGTGGCATTGGTGACTGGCTCAAGGCAGGATGAGAACTGGATTCTGACTGGCTCCCAGGTGGCTGAGGGGGCATCTGACTTCCTGTAAAAACACAGGAGAGGAAGTGGGGATAGGGAACCCTCTGCAATAATGTTGCAATTGTGCAAAACCAAGACACAGTTAAATGCATTTAATCTTCATGATCACAAAAGGTATTGCTCCACAAAGAAAAACATACAGCTCAAAGAGAGTTATATCTTATACTTTTTTTTTTTGTAAAACGAAGAGGAAACAGGCATAAACATCTTTATCAAATCACCTACTGAAAAGTTCAATTTTCTACTGTATGAGTTCCCAAATTCACAAATCAACCTACAAGCTCAAATCTCTGGACACACACTTCTACAATACGTTTAACAAAATCCGAGACTGATGAAGTCAACTCAGACTCCCAAGTTTAAACTAGCTTCTAAGTGGGCAGGCAGCATAGTGGCCAACAATCTTTTAGGAGTAATATTTACTTAATATAGCAATAAAAAATTACTTCTAAAAAACTTCTAAGTCAATCAGAGATTCAACAAAAACTTAGAAGGAAAGCTCAATTAAAAGACACACAACTATAAAGTATAGTGTACATTCTGCATCTTTTAATCTTTATTGCTAATACAGCGATAGTGTCTATTTGCCAACTATTTGATTTCCATTTAATTTTTGCTTTTGGTCTTTCCAAACTATAAGGTAAGCGCAATGAGACAGGAATCAAGTTGTTTACTCCTTTAGTCCCTCCATCAGCATAACAAATAATTAATAAATCTTTTGTTATTTCATGGTCCTTAATATGACAATAGGAATTAAAGCAAAACACTTTAATTAACTTTATTAAAATAAAACAAAAATTTTTATTTTATTAACTAAAGACAGATAGTGAATTATATGAGGTCTAGAGACATGATTTTTTAATTTAAGATCAGCTCACTTTCTGCCTCACAAGTATAGATACATTTCTGAGAGTAAAAGTATTACAGAGTAACAAAGGCAGTTGAATTTAGCATAATCCTCAAAGCACTGTTTAACCATTCATTTACTCTTAAGACATCTGCAGTAAATTAGTATTAGTACCAAACAAATAAAGCAAAAACACTTACATTTTGGGTAAAAACAACTTCAAGGGTAAACACTGCCATCAACTTGGCTACAGACAAAGTTGCTGTGTGTCCACTCGGGGTCACGTGCTTCCTGTGAAACGCCCCACCCCCTAAACTCCAGTCCATTCAGAAATTTAAAGCACTTTGCGGCCAAATACTGACTTTTTGAAATGTCACTGGGGAGTCAGTTGCAGTAAGATAGTAAGTGCTTACATTATAATGATTGTTTCTACATGACAGACTGAATTCATAGACTCATGACAGTAAAAAAAACAACAGTAATTCTATGTTAATACAGGACACCACTGCTTACACTTTACATGCCCCAGGCACTGCTCTTATATACCATATTTCAAGTAAACATAAAAAATGCTGTAAGGAGGCTCATGAATTCATAAAAAACTGCCATATCCAAGCAGCACTAGTGGTGTCTGGTGCATTTCTAAAAGATCTCTCTTTAAAGTGATGAGTTATCTACTCATTTACTAAATCTGTCTTTTAAAGAAACAGTCTTTTCATGGTAACGATAGACTTGCCCAAACTGTTTTAAATTCTCCATTTGCTTTCAATCCCTGTCTTTCCATCAGTAGTTTTTTTTTTTTCCATTTATTTTTATTAGTTGGAGGCTAATTACTTTACAACACTGTAGTGGTTTTTGCCATACACTGACATGAATCAGCCATGGATTTACATGTATTCCCCATCCCGATTCCCCCTCCCACCTCCCCCCGCCCCCATCCCTCTGGGTCTTCCACCAGCCCCTACATCGATAGTTTCATAGTTACTAACAAATAACTTCATCTCCCATTAGCGTAAGTATAAGCAAAGTCACAGCAGATGACTGTGACATGATCAGAAAACACGTTTGAGAAACATAATGCAGATGATCCATTTCTGTCCACTGTCCATATAAAGACAATTCAGAGCTTTTTGAACCAACTGAAAAGACTAAACACCTCTCGAATCATAGATTTCTATATACCATATGTATGATGTTAAAGAAAACCTTTTAAACAAAGTGTGGTAACTACATTAAAAGAGAATGTTTTCATATGTAGTAAATTCACGAGAAGGCTTTAACAGTAAAACTGAGTGTTTAAAGAAATCTCATTTTCTCCCTAGTCTGTGTCTATGATGATGTAAGCACAACATGGTGATGTAAACACTATCTGTGAGGCATAACAAATTCCACCACTTCACATGGAGGTATTCACTCTTCGATGGATATGTACACCATACTGTCCAAAATTTTTGGTCCAACAAACTAAAAAAGGAAACATCAGCAAATGACCTTAATGTCTGCTTTTGCCAACTTAAAATTCTAAGCACAAGTTTGTATTAAAATTTTTTACAGAAGAGCTCTTACGTGTAATGAATTTAAGACTCAGAGTAAAGCTATAAAGCTAGTACAAGAGTGCTGTGCTCAGTCGTGTCCGACTCTTTGCCAGGCTCCTCTGTCCATGGGCTTCTCCAGGCAAGAATACTGGAGTGGGTTGTCAGTTCCTCCCCCAGGGGATCTTCCCAACTCCGGGATCGAACCCGCATCTTTTACATTTCTTGCATTGGCAGGTGGATTCTTGACCACTAGCACCACCTGTGTAAGGGGCTGTTGTATATTCCTTAGCCCACCTCTCCTAGTGATCACATCTTTTTTTTTTTTAAGTGATCACATCTTATAGAACCTTTATATAATTATCAAGAGGAACTTAAAATGGTAAGAAATCACTAAGATATTTGAATTTTACCATTTTTTCCAGCCAGTGCTTCTTTTTTTCATTCCAGCGTCTCATATTGCATTTAGTTGTTATTTCTCCTCTTCAGTCTGTCTTTCCTCATATTTATGACCTTGATGCTTTTGAAGAGTTCAGATCAGTCATTTCTAGAATGTTCCTCAATTGGGCTTAGTCTGTTATTTTGTCAGGACTGAAGCAAGGTAATGCATTTTGGGATGTGTACGACAAAAGTGTTGTGCCCTTTTTAGTTCATTCTATCAAGAGGTTAATGTCAATGATGTTTCATTTGTGGTGACTTTTGCCTTGATTACTTGGCAAAGCTGTTGTCTACCAAGCTCCAATAAAAAGTTACTGCATTTTGCTCTTTGTAGTTGATGAGTATCTTAGAGGAGATATTTGAGACTCTGCAAATCCTGTGTCTCCTCAATCTTGCACCCACTAATTTTAGTATCCATTAGAGAACCTTGTCTGCAGCATTTATTACAGTGGTGCTTGCTAACGGTAATATTTTGTTTCCCTCTTTCCTTCCACATTTGTGAATGGGAATCTACTATGAGGAAGAATAATCTCTTCTTCTCCATTTCTTTATGTATTTATTAGACTGCCTCTATTCATATGGACTCGATATGGCAGACACATCACAGAATGATTTCCAATGAGTCAAATTCTTATGTAATTTCCATCTTTTCACTGAGGGCAGAACCTGTGTCTTGGCTTCTAATAAAAGAATATAACAGAAGTGATGGGATATCATTTCTAAAATTATTTTATATGGCAAAGTTAAAGGGATTTTATAGACGTAATTAAAGTCCATAATCAGTTGAATTTGAAATAATCAGAAGGGAAGTAACCCTGTGAGGGCCTGATGCTAAGAGAGGGCTTAGGCCTTCTTTAAGGATGCTCCTGATGGCCCTGATGAAGTACGCTTCTATGATGGGAACTGAACCGCACAGCTAGGACAGGCAGCCTCTGGAACTTTAGGGCCTCACTTCTACAACCACTGGAAACAACTACTTCCAAACAGTCTGAATGAGACTGGAAGCACAGTATGCCCAAGCTGAGCCTCCAGATGAATACAAGACAACCCAACACTTGGACCAGAGCCTTTTGACCCTGAGAAGAGGACCTAGTGTGGCTGTGACTGGACTCGTGACCATGGAAAATGTGAGATTAATAAATGCATGTTGTTTTATGCTGCTAAATTGTGATAATTTGCCATACTGAACAGAAAATTCACACACTCATGGATTAAAATCCAATTGTGCCATTATTTTGTTGCTCAAATTGTTTCAGCTTTGACCATTAGAAGCTCCTTCAAATCTTTATTTTTTAGAAGTCACAAGGTATTCCAGGCTCATCTTTTATTTTCCTCACCCCAGTCCTATAATCAATCACTTCTCCTCAGAGATCTGGTTCTTTCTATTGGAGAATGGTGTTAAGAGACTAAAATCTGGGCATTGGGCCTGCTCGTTATTTCTGGGGAGTTACTGCTTCCAGCCTCTCTCAGTGAAGAGAGTAAGCACACCAATGTGCACATACACACTCTACACCTCAGTGTGTGTGTGTGTGTGTGTAAAATCATGAGTGTGGGGCTTCCCTCGTAGCTCAGTGTAAAGAGACCACCTGCCAATGAGGGAGATGCAAGGGACCTGGTTTCAATCCCTGAGTTGGGAAGATCCCCTGGAGAAAGAAACGGCAACCCACTCCAGGGTTCTTGCCTGGAAAATTCCATGGACCGAGGAGCCTGGTGGGCTACAGTCCATGGGGTTGCAGAGTTGGACACGACTGAGCAATTGAACACACACACACTATTGTATTTGGTTAGCTAGTATTTTCCTTAGAATTTTAACACTTGGAGAGGCTTTGAGGGAATTTTTCTAATTAAAAATAGCTTTTAAGAACTAAATCAAAATAAGCATCAATTAAACATTTGAAAGAACAAAACATTAGGATTTTAGTTTATAACAAAACTGAGAGAGACAGGCTAATAAGTATACTTTTGGTTAATTAGCACACATCTAGTAATGTATCAGAGAAGGCAATGGCACCCCACTCCAGTACTCTTGCCTGGAAAATCCCATGGACAGAGGAGCCTGGTAGGCTACTGTCCATTGGGTCGCAAAGAGTCGGACACGATTGAGCGACTTCACTTTCACTTTTCACTTTCATGCATTGGAGAAGGAAATGGCAACCCACTCCAGTATTCTTGCCTGGAGAATCCCAG